GAAAAATTAAAAACAAAAATTGCTCTGTTTGTTTCCTGTTTTTTTTTATTCATTTAGAAAGAATAACTCCATTCTCATTTATTGGATAATTTTTAGCTTCATTCGATGGTATAACGTACGGATAAATTTATTCAAATCGACAAATATGTTAGGTTATGTGCAAACGTCAATGGCACAACAACGCATATATCAATCGAAATCGTACATATTTGACATTTCGTCGGTAAAATGCTTTAAATTCTGAATTGAAAGATCCGAAAATACCTTCACAAAAACGCAAATTATTCTTTTACTCTGGATAGCTGCATTGATAATTAAAAATATATTTTACATTGATAAATTGAATACGCTTTTTAAAAAAAATGGTTTTCTATTTTGTAAGCAACGTTGTGTCGCCTCCATTCACAATTTTTATGGGAGCGGAAAAACATGAAAGTGCGTTTTAAAGTGTGATTTTTGAATTTATTCTTGATATTTCATTTAAATTTTCTCTTCAAATAAATTCACAGATGAAGACTTAATCAAATGGGGTTGGCCCGAAGACGTTTGGTTCCACGTAGATAAAGTATCTTCCGCTCACGTTTATTTGAGGCTTCAGCCGGTTAGTAAGAAAAGCATGCAATGAATGCCATTCGTTCATTATAAACTAAGAATGTTCCTTATTTGAAATGGAAAATAGAAAATTATCTTATTGAAAATTGCGCATTGGGTTATAGGGCCAAACGATCGATGACATTCCATCTGCTGTGATCGAAGATGCCGCTCAGCTCGTCAAAGCAAATAGTATCAATGGCAATAAAATGAATAATATCGATGTGGTGTACACAATGTGGGAGAATTTGAAGAAAACGCCGGCGATGGAAGTTGGACAGGTGTCGTTTCATCGTGACAAAGATGTGCGTAAGATTCGAGTCGAAAAGCGAATTAATGAAATTGTGAATCGATTGAATAAAACGAAAACAGAAGAGCATCCAGGTAGATTATTTGAATTGTGATAAGCTTTAGTTTAAGACGTTTGGATCATACCTTGGAAAAAAAAACTAGTCAATTGCTCCTTGAGTGTTTTGGGCTAACGAAATTTCTGACATCTTTTGATTGCAGATTTCCGAGCTGAACGTGAAAAACGAGACGCGGCGGAGCGTGAGGACAAGAAGAAAATTTTACGTGAGCAAAGAGAAAAGGCTAAAGAAGAGGAGCGCAAACGAAAAGAAGAATCTGAACTGCGAAGCTACTCCAGTCTGCAAGCAAATGAAAAAATGCAATCAAACTATGACGACGGCAATGATTCGGATGATTTTATGTAATGGCATTTGAAAACGAAAAAAAAAAACAATAAAAATAATTTCTTTTGAAAATCAATTTAAGAAATTTTTTTTCGTTTGAATCAATCAATTTAGCGACTGATGTGAAATAAAGTGAAAATCCGTTGGTTATTGTTTCTATCAAAAATTCAATATTTTATTTCGACAAAGATTGTTAAATGGCCGAACAGATTGCTGTGTGCATTGATATTGGGATTGTGTTTTTGTGTGTGAGCATTTCCAATTGGATTGGTTTAGATTTTGTTGAATGCAGCAATATCAACGGATTGAACGTAGTCTTCAAAGGCTTCGATTTTCTCTTGGAGTTCATCGGTTGAGACTTTGTCATCTTCGATGACGCACATAATTTGCAATTTATTGATACCATAGCCGACTGGCACCAATTTTGATGCACCCCAAATAAGACCTTCCATTTCGACGGTACGGACATTTTCTTCCATTTTTTTCATGTCGGTTTCATCGTCCCATGGTTTGACGTCCAACAAAACGGAACTCTTTGCGATGAGGGCTGGTTTTTTGGATTTTTTGGCGGCATAGGCAGACACACGCTCTTCACGGATACGTGCGGCCTCTTCATCTTCTTCGTCTGAGCCAAACAAATCGACGTCATCGTCGTCATCGGCAGCAGCAGCAGCTTGTGTGGTTGGTTTGGCGCCGGCAACTTGTGGCACAGCTTGTCCACCCCAAGCGTTACGTTCTTGAGCTGAGAACGATGCAATATGACGATACCATCTTTGAACATGTGGCACATTACCGGCAGGAGCTTTACCTAAAGCATCAAACACCGACAAATCAGCCTTTGATGGAGCGTATCTGGAAAAAAAATAAACACCATCAATCAGTTTGGATTTGCACTTCAATTTAAAAGTTAACCTCTAAATTATGATGCAGCTCAACTCACCCGCTGATATAACTGTTTTCGGCCAAGAAATTGTTAAGTTCTTCAAGACCTTTTGGTGTTTTTACATCTCCGAATGCCATTTTTGTTTGAAGAAAATTGGTTTGGTGTTTCAAACGCAAAAAACAATGAATTACAATGATTTTTCAATCGAAATACGCAAGTTTCAACTAAACTGTAACGTTTCACCACGTTGCCAACAGAGAAAGAGACCGACAAAGAGTGACGATCGAAACGACAGCTAGCTGTTATGTGCGGTTCACAGTGTCGAATTGCCATCGTCGTGTTAAATTCTCCGTTGTCAAATGGTGTGTGAGTACGTGTCTATTTGGCGAAAAATCGGTTGACATTCACAATGAATGACAGAAATAGCATGTGATTTTGGTATATTTCCAGATTTTCTCGTTGTCATACTCAATTCTCAGCATTTTCGCTGCATATTTGTCGAAAAATGGGAAAATGTTTTCATGGTGAACGAGTCGTTAGGTTTGGCGAAATTTTCGCATTACCAACCTAAGCATCGGGCAGAATAGTGAAAGTCAACTGTGTTCGTCTGCACACACATATGCATACCATACATAGATACGGTTCGTTACTGATACTCTATACGGACAGTATTGCCACCACACGACCGTGCACAGTGGTGGAGAGAGCGGGCGAGAGAGTGAGAGCAAAAAAAAGCATTGGAAAACCTCTTTTAGTAGTGCAACTGCTCAGAAGAAAATAAAACTCAACCAAACATTCGAACGAGCTGTAACTGTGAGCGCGAGCAAGACAACTGCACATTATACAAGCAAGACAAAATAAACAAGCAGCAGCTGAAATACATGGATACACCATAAACACACACACATACATACACCGACATACACAACCACATGCACACACACACAAACGCCAGAATAATAATAAGAAAAGGAATAAAAAACCAATTTTGAGTAAGCAGCACAGGTTGACAACAAAAGACATTTTTATTTTGCAGGTTGTGCGAAAACAGGGACACGAATAAAAACTAAAAAAATTAATCCATAAATAATTTATAAATAATAAAACGTGCAACCAAAATAAAATAACAAACAGTGAAACAACAAAACGATACGAAAAGCAAGAAAACTATCAAACACTCAAAACTTCCAATACCGAAACGTCGAAGAAGAAGAAGAGAAAAAAAAACGTAAAATATTTTGACCACACGCGAAACACAAAAATTTTGAATTCAAGAGAAGGAAAAAAAAGATTTTTTTTCTTTGGATTAAAATACAAAAATTGTTTGGAAAACCGAAACGCACAAAAAGTTTACGGAAAATTGGCAATAATCAGCAACATTCAGCAGTAACAGTAAGCAGCCAAGCAACCGAAGAAGAAAAAATCGGAAGAAAATATTTCAGTTGTGTTCTTTTCCTTTTCGATTTTCCCTGAGTACGTGTTCTGCTCGGTGCATGTGTATGTGTGTGTGCATACATGTTGTGCAAATGTGAAATAGAATTTTAATACTCAACAAATACGAAAAACTGTTGTGTTATTATATTTTATTTTTATTTTATTCTTTTGGCAAAAGAAAAATGTAATTACTCCGGTATGCATAGCTGATTTTCGTCCTAAAAATCATAGAAAAATTGTGTGGCTAAAACATTGTGTCATTTTCATTCGGCTCGTGTGCATATTGCCATTTCTTAAAGGAGGGAAAAAGATGGCATTGAATGCCATGAAGAACAACACAGAAAAATTTGTATATCAGTGAAATGAAGTAGTTCCAGATCGAATGGTCTTGGTCAAATAACGAGAAAAAAATATTGGAAAAAAAAAGAACGGAGCTCTCTTCATTTGGTTCACATCATTTTTTTTTTTTTTGCAATGCTCACTTGTTCGATCACAATTATACAAAGCCAATGTTTTTAAATGAATTGGAAACTGATACCGATTATTGTGATCTAAATTGTTTCTACAATCGAGCAAGCCTGTTAAAGCGCTAATGACAGTCAAAACAAAGTGTATAACGACAGGATAATGTCTACAAATGCATAAAATAGAAATATCGTTGAAAATTGTGCAACAAATAAGAAATCTATCGACAAAGTTTTAGTTTCTTCGTTGTTTTTTTTTTTCGTATCTCACATACACTACTCTGTGTCTATCCCGTTCAAAGTGGCTATTTTTTTTTGTGTGTGCCCACGACCGTATCCCAAGGGTAATGATAGACAAAGTTTAAAATTAGAAGCATGCATTCGAAATCGATATCAAAAAGAGTGTAGTTCAATTAAGACATGATATGATTTTCTTTCTCTCTTTCTCTCTCTCTCTCTCTCTCCCTCTCTCCCTCTTCATCACTCTCTGTTGGGTTGTTAATTTGCAACATTATAGCTTTTAGAAAGGACGAAATCGTATATCTGAAAGGAGAAAAGACAGAAGAAGAAGAAGCAGTAGCAAAAAATAAGAAGAAGAGGAAGAACGGAAACACTGTTGAAACAATATTATAAACGGCGACAGCATCCACATCATCATCATCAACAACAAAATACATACACAGCATGAAGAGACGAAATGCCGAATTCGGGAAGCTGAGAAGGCCCATGAAACGTAATAAAATTGCGGAAGGAATGTACGGAAGGTACGATTCATATTATCCTAGTTCATCCATATATGATCTATCTATCCATCTGAGTACACGGATACATCATGTATATGTATGTTGTATGTGTACACGGTGTCGACACACACACACACACACTTACGGAAAGAGTGAGAAAAACGATGAATATATGTCGGTTTGCTAAAGGCTACAACTGCTTGTGTTTGCAAATGTGTGTGTGTGTGCGCGCTTGAGCGTGTGTGTGTATCGAGATAAAGCGAAATGTGTCTGCGTCTCGGTGCGCGGGTGAATCCAAACCGTGTGTAGTTATGCAGTATGGAGGATACATATGTGTGTACATTTGTATCCAGATTTCCATTTTGCACGGCTAAAAAGGATGAAGGGCAATATGATTATGGTTTAATGTCGAATTCCTCCCTCGATTAGTCCAATGTTTTTGGCAGTGATTTCATTATTTTTCTCCTTCTTCTTCGAATGAACGGAAGAATGAAATCACAACCATATTTTCGTTCTGCACGTCGAATACAATTATTGTTTTTATCGCCGATATGACCGGTATCATTGTGCCCGAACCACTATCACCATTAAAATGCTTTCAGTATATTTTGCACATCGATAAAAATTAATTGATTCATTTGTTTTTTTTTCCCCATTTCGTTTCGTTTCTCGTTCTTTTTCTTCTAGCAATACATTTTTGTACGTGAAATATTTGATATTATGGGCCATTGTGATCACAGCTGACTTCATGTTAGATTTCCGATTTGAATTTTTATGGCCATTTTGGTTACTTTTACGATCTGTTTACGACTCATTCAAATATAAAGGACTAGTAAGTATAAGTGACCTCGATCGAGACCGGCTTACACGCATATCACTTACATTTCATTCGATTTGGAATTCCGATTCGAACGACACCATCAATAATTGTTTGGTTTTGTTCATTTTTTTTTCTCGCAGGCATTTACAATACTCTTCGTATGCATTGCTATCACATCAGATTTAGTATGTCTGTTTTTTATACCAGTTAGTTGGCTCTTTTTCTTGGCAAGCACATACGTGTGGGTGCAATATGTTTGGCATGCTGGTAAGCATCAGATCAATGAACCACCATTTCCCATATTGATGCATTTTTAATTGACGCATTCCGATTAATCGCAAAACAAAAAATGTGTCCCATTCTTTTCCACCATAAGCAGCCGATAAAGGATTCTGTTTGCCAACCATATTATTGTGGGCATTGTTTTTGTACTTGGAAGGAGCCATCCGATGGCGAGACGACAAATCCATTCCACATGTAGATTTGTGCCGGCCATTTGCAGCACATTGGTAATTATTCCGATTCTTTCATTTCATTTTTTTGTTGTTGTTTCGTTTCGCTTCAACACAACATTTTAAATGAGTTTTTCATTTCGTCTCGGTCGAAACAATAGCATTGGATATCCCGTAGTTACATTAGGGTTTGGAGTAAAGAGCTATGTTGGCTATCGAATACGGCATCGGAAGCAACGCGAGGTGGCGAAAGAGAATGAATTTTATATGCAACTGCTACAGTTTGCATTGCCAAATGATGAGCTACTTCATGCACAAATGAAACAAGCGCCCGAAATGCTGCACTCGGACAAATTGGGCGATATCGATCTTCCGGTTTCATCAGCGATCATAGCACAACGAATCCAGCAACAACAACTACTGATGATGTCCAGTTCACATGCGTCTTCATCCAGCAACTGTATGTTTTTGTGTTTTATTATTCATTTGTTTTTCTCTTTAATTTCCAAGTCAAATGATTTTCCATGGTTTTCTAACAATGTGTCCAAGACGTTTAGAAACAGTATCGCAACGGACAGTTATCGCATAAATATCGCGCGATAATTTTCTACTAGCGATAACTGCCTTATGCGATAGTGTTTTTATGCGTTGTCCAGTTTTTTACGATGATTTTGAATTTTTCTACAATATTTGACACATACAATTTCTGATTTTTTTTTTTTGATTTCTGTTTCAGCAGCTACATCGTCAGTGGTGAATGCGAATGCAAATAGCACATCAACCTCATCATCATCATCATCATCATCATCGTCATCATCATCATCGTCATCGTCATCATCACTAAACTTTAATCACAACAACAATCACAACATTAGAAGGTATGATAAAAATGTGTACAGACTAAGGTCTTTGGTCAAATATGTGCTAATGTGCGGTTTAAATTTGTTACAGTAATGGTCACAGTAATCACAAAGTCAATGGTCATACCATGAATGGATTCTCATCGTCCGTATCTGTAACGTCCTCTCAACCTTCAGCAACAGGTACGTAGAAGAAGATGAATTCATTCATCTGCATTCATATCGCATGCGATGTCTGATTTCAATGCACATATTCGTCGTATTCTGAATTGAAAAATTTGTTCGGTTCCAATTTGCAGGCACATCAACAGGTACGACGTCAACATCGACCATACATTTTAGTCATAACAACAGTAGTAGCAACAATAACAATATGAACAGCAGTAACTTGAATTTAACGGCGACGCACAATGGCTTTGGTCTAAATCATAATTCGATGAATCAAACGCATCAGAATCACTTTAATTCCACCAACAGCGGCAGCACCAGCGGCGGTGCTGTCACATCATCATCGGTGCTGACATATCGAAGTAATCGACGCAGCATGGATCGAAGTGACAATAAAACTAGTGATACAAATTCTCCGTCATCATCATCACCAGCAGCAGCAGCATCATCATCTTCAATAAGAAGCACATTGTCATGTAATGACCCGATACAGGAGGGTATCTCGCAATCACGTTCATATTTCATTATGTGTTTGCGAATCATTTACAAAACGTTCATCATGTTTATCAATAATGGATTCAATAAGCGGCGACCGGCCAATTTGAATAATAATCCAAACGGCCGATTGCCCGAATCGTTGTTCAGCCGAATTCTGTCCATACTAAGGTACAGAGTGATCGGCGTTGACATGAACAATTACAGTCATAATGACAGTGGCACCGAACAGGCTAGCTATATTGAGCGCATTGACGATGAACATATGGAAAACAGTGATCTACCGGCTAATACAACTGCAAACACAAAATTGACTACATCATTTACACCATCTGCTCCAGTGGCTGTTGAATTGCCAACAGGTAATGGAATAAAAAGGTGTTTTTTTTGCTTTCAATTTAAAATCAACTAAAGCATATTTCACTTCCAGCATCGAACTCCGGCTACTCAAGTGTACAGCAGCAACCAATTGATATGGAGAAATCGGTGTGCAAACAAAACGGAAATACTGAAGCCGACACTCAGATCAATAGTGTGGAAAGTAATGGCACAAATAACATCACAGCGGAAACGACCGAACGAAACCGTGGCCGACGAAATCGCGGAAAACAAAAGGATTCACAGCAGCAGCAGCAACAACAGCAACAGCACACAACACAAATCAACAAAGACAATCACAGCCATGTAAATGTGGTCCGAAATTCATCGCCACTATCACAGCAAATCGAACATTGTGAATCATGCGGCCGTCTCGAGGTTGAACTCAAGAAAGTGCGCAGTGAAGTTAGCCATCTCAAGCAAATCGAAAATGAACTGCGACAAAAGTGTGATCAAAACTCAACGGCAAAGTCATGTTTGCAGGCCAAACAGAAAGAGAACGATGAATTGGAGAAAAAGTAAGTGCGATCGGAGTTTTTGCTGCGATTTGTTTTGTGGCAAGAACTTAAGCTCATCTTGTTAACATTTTTTATTTTCAGATTACAAGAGCTTACGAGTTCGCGGCAAGCGGATCGTCAAACGATGCAGCAAACTGATCGCAAGTTAATCGATGAACGACGTCAACGGCAATCTCTAGAGGCACAGCTGAACAATGAACGAAAGCAACGCAAATTGGCCGAAGAGAAACTCTCACGGTACGTCTATTAAGATGGGTGTGTTGAGTTCAATGGATGAATTGATTTAATTTTTCGAATTTTTCCATCTTCCAACAGGGTTGATTGTAGCGAAAACTGTAAATTACGCAAACAGATGCTAGAGAACGAATGCAAGCAACTGCGACGTGATATTTCATCGATCGAGGAACTGAAGAAATCGGCCGAACAACAAAGCAGAAACTATGAACAAGAAGTACGATTTATTTACCCTTTTTTTTGGTTCAGTAGGACATCTCAGTTATATTCGGTTTCCTTATAAGGCCGGTTACCTTAAAATTTAATGAAAATGTGTTGTGTATTAAAATTTTAGCTGCGAAAATTCGAGGCGGAGCTGAGATCACGTGAAACCCGCGAAAGTACTGAAGTCCTAATGTCAGCCCTACAAGCAATGCAAGATAAAAACACCACACTGGAAAAAAATCTGTCGGCAGAGACACGAGTTAAGCTGGACTTATTCTCGGCTCTAGGCGAAGCGAAGCGACAACTGGAAATTCGTGACAGTAAGTGGCACTCTTTTTCGGTGCTATAGTTGAGTATTTTTTGCATCAATTTTTCTAATGCCATTTTACCCTTACCCGCATAGGTGTTATTCGGCAAAAGGACAAAGAAGTGGTAGATTTGAAGTCAAAGATAGCGCAACTGTACGCGGTGATGCCATCAGTGCCAAATGAATCGTATTTACCACAATGTACGTCGACAAGCAGTACGATATTACGTTTGAGTGATACGAGCCCAGCACCGCAATTATCACATTCGGAATCCATGTACGGTTCGAAAAATGATGTGGCATAGAGAGAAAACTGAAACATTTACGGTAGAGCACACATTTTTACCATAAAGTCTCTCCCTCCGCCCCCAATCGTCCCAGACCTCTTCCTCCAATCCTCTCCCGCTCCGGTCATCACAACTGAATGAATCTCACCGAGATAACGTTTTGACTCGTCAATTTTGTTCCATTCAGAGATCTTAGTGATAAGCTAGTTGTTTTCTTCGTCGCGAGTCGTTAAACGTTCATCTCTTTATACAAAAAAAAAACTGAATTCATTTTCTTGCTGTTTTAATTTAACAATTACATCATATTTTCTTTTGCTCTCGTTGTTGAAAATATCAGTAAAACTGAAAAGAAGGAAAAGAAAGTAAGAAAAAACTATTGAATCGAAATGGTCGACATACGATTATTTTAGCGTTGCATCTCAGTTGCTAAATAATCGACATTGAGAATATCTTCCATTGAATTCCTACCCACACATACAAGAAACAAATTTTTCTGAAAATAAAATTTCAAAATTCGCTTCAATGCGCACTCTCTATTAGTTTACAGAGACAAAAAAAAATTATTATATTATTATCGAGTTGGAGAAATGTTCCACCGATTGCGAGCAACCAAATGGGCTGATACTGAAACAAAAAATCACACATAATCCACATTTCAATGAACAAAGTTCAATTTGAGCATATATAGATCTGTTTTTCTCTCTTGGTTGCGTGGAAATATGAATATGAACAAAAGAATTCGTTTAAAAGATTTATCGTGTGTATGCGTGTGCAAAAGTTGCGCATTTAGCGCAAATTAGCGAGATATAATCCATTTTATTTTGTTTCGCATGAATTTCATGATATTAACAATTTCTCGATTAAGAAAAGTCAAAGGCGACATTTTCAGAAGAAAAAACACAAACCAAACTTTCAAAATGAACAAGAATAAACAAAAGAGAAAGAGGAAATAATAACAAAAACAACAACAACAACAACAACACACATACATTGACTGATTTTTACACTTTTTTGTATATTTTACAACTGTGAATTTGAAAACAAAAAACAACAAAATAATAGTTTAATTTTGATTTAGATTCGTTTTATGCTATTAATTCTTTCTTTTTTCTCTCTCTCTCTCTCTCTCTCTCTCTCTCTCGTCTTATTGCGCTCCCCTTCCTCTTTGTTCTTCGTTAATTTATTATTTATAATCGTATTAAATTATAATATCTCGGACTTAATTTTTTTGTTGTTGAGATAGATGATGATCAATGAACTAACTGTGCTATTTTTATATGATTTTCAAATGATAATGACCGAAAAAGAAAACATGAAAGTGAAGTTGAACTGATGTACGAAAATCTGGATATAAAGAAAAAAAAAAGAAGGAAATTTCAAGCATTCGAATTAAATTGCATGTACTGTAAATATATTGTGACCGAATCGCTGTTGATAAACATGTAATATTTAAAATGGTAACATAATGAGAAGAAGAAAAAAAAGAACATGGTGAAAAGAAAAGAGCAACACATTTTTTTTCATTTGTGATTTAAAAAAAGAAAAAGGCAAACAGATAAAAGAAATATGATTACGTTTACTATTGCTTCGATATGGGGATAATAGTATTAAGGAAGTCGAAGCTTATCACCGACCCATGTTCACTGCATTGGTCATCTGTTGGAGACCGAGCCAAGACATTGTATACCCCATTTGCAAGTCCATTACGATATATTCAATCGATAGAGAGAAAATGTTCATTTTCAATTCTGAATGAAACCGACATACGACAAACATTTGAAGCAAAAAAAAAAATGTATAAATAGATAACAAACAAAAAATCTACTTGGAAATACAATACTCAATATTCTTAATAATTCTTTAATCAAAAATGATGAGAATAATAAAAAAAAAACAACAACAAAAAATCGTTTGCAATTATTTTCGAATATTTATAGGTTGTAAATGGGAAATTTGCAAGTGCATACAGCTGCAAGTGGAAATTTGGTTAAACATCTGCCGTCAGAAGTGGATTCAGGTTCGTTTAATTTCTACTAGAAATTTTCTATTTTGAAGACTTGAATAAAAGATAGGTACCTACTGATGACCTCTTCAATTCTCTGATGGCTGAGTTGGGTCAGTCTGTCGTCGGAAAATTCATTTTTTTGTTTCTTTGTTTAAAATGTTATAAACCAACAAAAAATTTAGATTAAATTTTTTGAGTGATTGTATTAGGTAAAAAATCGGCATAAATGAATAATAACTATAGTTTTTTCCACTTAATTTACGGTATTATTCAAAAAAAATTCTCCCAAAAAATGAATACAAAAAATAAAACAGTCAATAGCAACACAAATGGATTTTCAATAGTTTAATTTGAAAAAAAAAGAAGTTAATTTTCAGGTGTTGAATTAATTCAGTTAAAGACATATTTTATTATACATTAGTTGTTATTAGAATTGAGTCTGCTTCTTGAAAGTGTGTTTGGATTTAATTTAGTTCGTTCCAATGTGACAAAAATTTCCCGTTGATCTATAAGAAAGTGTGGCTTCCACTCGGTGCCACAGCTAATTGGATTAGCGACTGTAAAACCTACGACGATTCACCAATTCAAAATTCGTCAAATAATCGATTACAAAATAAATGCTCATAAAAGCGTCTGGAAGAAACACAATTTCTCTCAATGATGGTAATGCTTTGAAAACTTCTACATCTCTCTTGATAAAGTTCATGAAGTGATTCTTAAACGTTTATTTTTCTATTGTCGGATTTTCTTTGATAAAATCGGAAAAAGATTCACTGTACCACACAGTTAGTGGCTAGAGTGAATTCTCTGAGATGTTGAAATTTAAAATTAGTAGAATACTTAACAATTGACACTTCGAGACTAAAAGTTTCCGTTGTTTCATTTGAAATGTTTCGCCATAAAGTTGTATACTGGTTTAGATGCTATCATAGAGAGATTACAAATTATCTAAGCCATGAGCATTGAACGTTGCTCCCATCAAATATTTTCAGATCCGAGTGGTTGAAAGTGAGTTTGTTCATTATTGACGGTTGATCGCCAACATTTTGATGTCTTAATTTCAAAGTCAGGGGTGAACCACTACTGAATTTCGAGTTTTTTTTTGGATTTGAAGTATTTGACCGATGACTGTATTTGTAAATGATTTTTTCTAGCCTCTCATTCAGCTTTACTGCAATAGCTTCTAATACAGTCTAGTTTTATGGTGCAATTTTTTCAAATGAAACATTGGAAACTTTAAATCTCGAAGTGTCAATGGTTAAGTATTCTACTAATTAGTTTTACTCTGTTTGAGTAGTTTGGTAATTTGAGAGCAATCGATCATAAATAAATGAACCAAAAGGACAGTCGGCTTCTAACGGTTGCTTTGTTAAGTTGGGAAAATTCGAAATATTTCAGTTAAAATCAGAATCATTGGTTTAGTGCCAAAATAGTTCAAGTTTTTGTTAGTAACCGTAATTTCTTTAACCGAATTAATAATTTTTATTTTCAAAATACGAATAAGGTGTGTATTTGTTCTGATGTTTGATGATTCAATTGTGTCGAAAATTATGTACAAATAATAGTAAAAATTTCAATAAAAATCCTATTTTGTATTTTAGTTGATCGAAATGGAAGGTAAAAATGCAGGTGGAAAACGACGAAGCATAAAAATGTATTATCAACCCAAATGTATCAAAACCAACGGATTTGCTACAAAAATATATAAACAAACGGCAATTAACGATCTACTTCAAGAGTGCCTCGAGCATATATTTACATTT